ACATTTTGAATGGCTGAATTTTCACTTTTTTAATTGGCTTATAGATTGAGATATTGAGCAAGAGTGGCATGAAGGCAGAGTAGTCATACAGTGTCTGCTAAAAGCTGCATTCCCCATTTACTTTGCCAACTGTAGCTATTTTTGATCCTTTGATTTGGGCTAATTTCTCTGTTTTAGCTGCAGCTAGTAGATAATTGCATTCACCGTTGAGTGTTTATACAGACACTCTTACAAGCCGCAATAGAAAAAGAGCTATTTATGTTTATCACCAAGTATACATGCAGCAGTTTTCTTGGTAATTACCTTTTATTTGTTCCAAATCACTCTGTGATTTCTCTTAGTCCTCTGTATTGGACTTCAATTCTGTGGCTCTATAGATTAAGCTATTTTAAAATGTCAGTCTTCAGGCTGATGGCATTGATGCTGTTTCAGTGTCTCCTTATCTGGGCTGCAGTTCGGTCACCATTCAGCCAAGCAAAGAGTCTATGCTTTTTGTTGAATATTTTGCTCTTGAAGAGCATTTTAGAAGAAGCGGGGGCTACCTCGATCATCAGATGTCTTTCTTTCTATACTTCATTATTTTTACACAGAGCAAACAAAGTAGAAAGTTGTGTATGCATAATCAGGTAATAGTTTAGGTTGAAGTTGGCCTCCTGAGGTCTTACCTCTCACTCAAAGCAGAGCTACCTTGGAAATTAGATCCTATCTCAAAATTATATGAGGTAGCTCAAGGTCTTGCCCAGGTGCCCATCCTCCAAGCCTCTGTGGGGCACAAGCTCCAGTGCTGAATCACTCTTTGTGAGAACTTTCCTAATCAGATCTAATGAGAATTTTCCTTGTATAAGCTTGGGATTTTAGTATCTCATTCTTTTGCTGGGCCCCTTCAAGAAGAGTCTGGTGCCTTTCCTCTCCAGGCTGACTTCATGTCCTCTCAGCCTGTGCAGACATCTCTCTAAGCCTGTCCTTGTATGCCATGTGCTCCAGCTTCAAATCTTTGTGGTGGCCATTTGTTCCAGGTTCGATGTCTCTTTTGCACTGGGGAGGCAAAATGGGAGACAGCACTGCAGGTGTGGTCTCCTGAATGGAGAAAGGAGAAGTAAAGTGAAGGGGAGGAATCACTTCCTTCAACATGCTGTCTATGCTATTGCTAGTGTAGCCAGTATGGATTTGTCCTTCTATGCCTTACGGGCATACCATTGGCTCATGTTCACTTTCTTGTCCACTGGATCCCCCAATTCTTTAATGTATAGCTGTTTTATAGACACTTGGACCCTAGTCTGTACTGTTGCATGGAGGGATTTCATCCCAGGTGCAGGACTTTGCATTACCTGTGTTAAAATTCTTGTTCATCTTTCTTTAGCTTGTAGGTATCCCGATGAACAGCAATGCTGTCCTCCAGCATGCTGACAGCTCCCTTCAATGTGGTGGTGTTCAGAACCTTGCTGAGAGTGCATTCAGGACTGCATTCAGACCCATTGTTCTGGTTGTTAATCAAGCCATAAATAGTATCAGCCCAAGTGTCAACCCTAAGAAATGCTAGTAATAAGCAGCCACAGCTGGCAACCTTCTGACAAGTTCCTCCTTGTCTGTCAGTGGTGGGTCCAGGAGAAAACCAGTCTTTAAGCCTCCTGTATGTGTTATATACAGAAGGGTAAAAATAGCAAAGATTAATACAGCGTGCAGTCTGTTTCATAGAAACCACGCTGCTATTGCTTGATGTATAACAGTTCCTGCTGGAGCTAGCATCAGAGAAGTGAGTTTATTGAGAAAGAGATCTTAATTGACAGACGTGTATGAGGAGCACTGACTACAGGGCAAAGTTGGTTTCCAGCCAGGGCTATTAGTAATAGTGACTGTTTCTGCTAATCACTCACTTTCATAGTAATAAATCCTTTGCTTTGAAAAGGAGGGCAAACATATTGGTTCACGCCAACCAATATGTTGGTGTATTTCACATCAATTTACTTAAATGAACTAAGTGTAAACCTTAATTGCATTTTGTTTTAAGATTTATCCAGAGGATTTTTTTTTTTTTCAAACCATCCCTGAAATTTAAAACAGCTTTTTTTTTTCTTCTAAATATGTTATGAATCTAAAGGTGATGATGAAGTTAGGCTTTTCGTAACTGAGAAGATGGTACTTAGATTTACTCTACTGTAAGTATATCATCTGTTACTTCCCCTTAGGGAACATATCCATGGATCACTAATAAAACAAGACTTCTCTGTGCTTAGTTAAGTTGTAGTTGTTTCTGTAGGTGGTACTAGAAGCACAAGGCTGAATTCTTGCTTATAGTGTGGGTGCACTACTTGGGTGCGTTTCATATTCAGACCCGCAGACTCTGCTCTGTGTCTGGAGGTGGGCTTGAGAAGAACAAACACTTCTTAAAACTCTCTCTTGATTTCAGCTTACTTTATTTTGAAGACTAGAATCTGTTCTTAATGATAGTAGTTCACTGAGGTTTTTACTAAATTAAAGGAGTCAGTGCCTTCAGTGCTGATAAGCCTGTTGTAGGACTAGGATTCCAGGCTAATTACACAGTTGCTTAGCAGCAATTCTTCTCTGCCAGTTCCATAACATGCCACATCTCATTGCAAAATGGCCAGAAATTCAGTTTTAAGAGCAAGTCCTTATCACATGGCATGTCTATAACAACTGCTGAGAGATTGTTAAGAACGACGTGTTCAGAGATGTTAGAATTGCTAATTTGGCCCTTGTAAGTGATCTTCAACTTGCAATTAATCTTACTGATATCCTGGTGTGGGTGAATCATAGATTAGTTGCTTTGTGGTCCTTGTGCTCAACCTTGCTGTTAAAACATGTGTAGACAACTGTTATTGATGCACAGATGAGGAGGCCAGAAGTTGGGCATTGTAGCAATGAAGACAGAACATCACGGCTTCTAAATATTTTGGTTTTGTTCACAGCAAGCTGAGCTCCGTCAATGAGGAATATATAAAGAACAGAGAAGAGTATGAAGAGGCTCAGGATGCAATTGTTAAGGAAATCATTAACATTGCTTCAGGTGAATATGTCGTTGTTGATGTGTGTCACAGTCTGGAATGCTGGGAGGACTCGTGGTTACTTTGTAGGTCCTTCTCTAGAGAAGAACCATAGCATTCCCCAGAGAATTAGTGTGAAAAATGAGGTTTGGCTTTTAAAAGGTCATTAAAGTTTGAAATATATTGTGGTTTATGGTCAGACGCTTTCCTGGCATTGCTACAAACGCAGTGATGGGGTGTGTGCAAATGCTAATTCAATAGAAGGAATAAAAATATTCTTATAAAGGCCATGTCTGTCCTCCACCTACATCCCTGATTCTGGGCATCTCCACCCAAACATCAGACTAAGTAGAAGGCAGAAGAGGTAAAGGATAACAGGGAACTGAGGGAGTGTGACCTGAGGTCTATGAAGGATGGTGAAGAAAGAACATGGGTATGCAATATATGATAAAGTTAGTCATCACTTATATCCTAATTAATTTCCATAGATTTTACTCCCAAGTTTGCCTGCTTACACGGCATTCTTTACTCTCCACCAAAAGGAGAAGAGATGTCAGGGAATTTGGGCTGGAGGATTTTGTAAGTAATGCCTCTCCCAAAGGTACTAGTTCAGCAAAACAAATCTTAGTTCTTTGAAAGCAACAAGTGGAAAGTGAAAGCACTAATGAATTTTAAGCTAAGAGTAAATATATTAATGATTAAAAAACACTGTTTAGGCTAATACGCACACTCAAATATATTCAGTTACAGAGGAAATACTTGTAAGCTTTGACCTGTTGTCATGATAAAGAATTTGCCAGTCTACTACAAAATCAGTAACTTGATAGATTTTTTTGTCTTGTATTTTGGTAATTTTCAAGTGGCAGTTATTTGTGTGTAGGATACTAAGGTTTGTATATTTATGGAAAGCTAATTGGGATTAGCTTCAGTATGTCATCTATAAATACCTAGTATGTTTAATAAAGTCTTTTGCTGCTGCTTAAAGCTTCCATGGTGTGCAGTCAGAGACTTAAAAGTGCATATGCGTACTTAAAAAGCATTTTTCTTCCCCACGCGGAGGCAAGTTAATGAAAAAGACTGGATTATATGTGTAAATCTTGAATGAAAATGACTTAAAATCCTCTTAATGATCTATACCTAGCCGCTTCAAGAGATGATGTTAGAACAGTAAATGTGCTTTGAACGTGTAGGACTCTTTCTGCAGGTTACCACTCGCCTCTTCTGACACATGCAGCCTATTTCCAGGTGTTAGATGGTTTATCTCTGCAGACCCCTGTCTCTCATACCTTTCACTGCAAAAACCCAAACACCAGAACTTAAAACCCAGTACTGAGGATCCTGAGCCATCTAAGTCTAGTTGTCTCGTATCATGGGCGCTGTGTCTTACAGACCTCTCCATACCATCATTCATATAAACATAAATGGTAGACATGTCTGAATTGTCAATTTTGTGTCTATTGTCTTTGCTTACATGAGCATCAAAATGCGGTGTATTACTGAGGAAGGAAACTTACTGGATTTTCAGCCTTCTTGCCATTGTGAGCATTTGCCCCCCCTTACTAAGATAAGCTGTTTCTCATTGTCTGGTGTTAAGGCTAAACAATCAGTATGGCCTCACGTCTTCCTCTTCTTAGTCTGAAGAAGTCCCCTTTGTAGTCAAAGCAGGGAAACCTCAGGATTACATCTTAGTCTGTGACTGCTGTCATGAACAAAACTGACTTTTAATGCAGATGAATTAATTTTATGGGCTTAGTATAGACTTTAAGATACCTTTTCAACAAGAGCAAAATGTCTAACAGTGTTGAATTTGTGTATCTCTCTGTTCAAAAACAGGCTATGCAGAACCAATACAGACAATGAATGATGTGATAGCTCAGTTAGATGCAATTGTCAGCTTTGCCCACGTGTCCAATGGAGCACCAGTGCCATATGTCCGTCCTGTCATTCTGGAAAAAGGACAAGGAAGGATTGTGCTGAAAGGTGCCCGGCATCCTTGCATCGAAGTGCAAGATGAGGTGGCCTTCATCCCCAATGACATTACATTTGAGAAGGGCAAGCAGATGTTCCACATTATTACTGGTAAATGTTTCTTTTCTCTCTTTCATTTGTTATGTACATTTTTACTGTCTCTGGTATTTCCGATAATGATGTCTTTAAGAAAGCAAACTGACCAACAACCCAATAAAATTCTGTCAGAACAATTTCTTTAATCAACGAAGGGTGAGCTACTAGCAAGTAATTCATCTTTCTGAATGGGGGATAAGATTTAACTCTGAAAAAAGAGGGGAGGGTATTTGTAAGGTGTTTTTATTATATTAAAAAAAAGCTTCTGCAATGTTCTTGTGAAATATTTCCTTTGATAGTAGATATTCTATATGTTTATGCACATAACAGACATATTTCTCATCTTCCAAACTAATAGTCATGGAATTAGTTGTTACGACTGCAGTTATAGTGCACTATTTGCAGAAGGTGATCTCTAATTTAGAAATTGTCATATGGAAAGGAGAGGAGGGCTACTGGGACAGTATGAAACCAGAAAAGGACTTCCTTCCTAGACACATACATGTATATTCTTTGCTTTAGTGAAAGTAGCTACAAGACAGTCAACTTCAATAGCCAGAGAACCTGAACCTGCCTAAGTGCTTTGGAAAATTCCACTAAGCATCAGTTGTACTGTAGTCACATAGGCACATGTAGGCAAGATTTTAAGCTGCCTCTTTGTTAATGTTTTCTTTGTTTAGTATTAAAGTCAGTATTAAATGAAAAACATGTTTCCGTGACTGTACCCTTTTTTTTTCCACCCGTATTCTCTGGTGTAATTAAGATAATTTTACTACACAGGAAAACATTTTTAGTGCTTATAGATTTAATTGAATTTTAATTTCCATCCAGATGTCCTTGACATATGTTCTGAGTAGCAAAAGCACAAAATTTGGTTTAGTGATCAGTTTTCTGGAAAATACTTTCTATTTCATTTGTACTTCAGTTAATTTTAACTTAGTAGTACTTGGGTTTACTGATTCAGAATCCACTTAAATTGTCATTGAGATCACCCATTAACTTGTACCTCATCTGAACTAGGCTGTTTCGTATTTACAGACAAAGTGTAGTTGTTATTTGAGCTGAAAGCAATTTATTTTCATTCTTAAGCAGCAATACTGATGACTTCTAAAGCTTATGAGTTTTAGGTATGTACAGTATTTTAGATGACTCTTCTTAAAAGTCCCAAAACTTATGAAAGCCCCTAATGATCTCTAATCACCTTTCTTTTGAAAAAGCAGCATTGAGTAAGACATACAAGTAGTAATAGAGCTACTTGTTGCACCTGTTAGACAAGTCTGCTTCTCTTTCCTGGCGGGAGATTAATAAGTCTAAAAGTTCTTTGTTTTAATTTAGAGCCTCTTTTGCTTAAACAACTGCTGAATCGCAAAAGATTACCTGTTTTTTTCTTTTTAACTAATTTTCAAAATATCTTTAGGTCCTAACATGGGGGGGAAATCAACCTACATCCGACAGACGGGGGTGATTGTTCTCATGGCCCAAATTGGGTGTTTTGTACCATGCGACTCTGCGGAAATAACCATTGTGGATTGTATCCTGGCTCGGGTGGGAGCTGGGGACAGCCAGCTGAAAGGTGTGTCAACTTTCATGGCTGAAATGTTAGAAACTGCTTCAATCCTTAGGTAAGTCCTGTGTTAATTTGATTTTGTCAGTTGGGGCTGATAGAAAGGAGGTGCTCCAAGATAGATGTATTCAAGATTTCCTTCTATGTAGGATCTCAGTGGAGGATCTCAAGTCCTTTTTAGCAAGCTCCTAAGTTCTTGAAATAGCCTTTTTTTTTTTTTTTTTTTTTTTCCAGTGATCATATAGAGCTGCTACCGAATGGGACAAAGAAACTAATTTGGATTGATCTGTGTGACACTTTATTCATATGTTACGTAAATAGAAAGGGTCTTTCACCTCATCTGTGCTGTCCTTCTGCAACATAACTTGTGGTACTCCAATACCCAAAGTTCATGCTCTTCTCTAACATTATAAAATGCTCTTGCGTTTTTAGGACGGCATCCGAAAACTCCCTGATAATAATTGATGAGCTGGGAAGAGGAACTTCTACTTATGATGGCTTTGGTTTAGCATGGGCTATTTCAGAATACATTGCCAGCAAAATCTGTGCTTTCTGTATGTTTGCTACACACTTCCATGAACTGACAGCTCTTGCTGACCAAGTGCCAACAGTAAATAACCTGCATGTTACTGCTCTGACCAGCGACGACACGCTGACGATGCTTTATCGTGTCAAGGAAGGTAAGACTATAAATGTTGAACTGGGTAAACTTAACTTTGCCCTGAGAAAGGAAGAAATCCTAGTGGAAAAAAAATATTTAAAAATTTTAATGTCCTACTCCAGGCTTAATTTTTATAATAGGCACATTCTTCTTTGTGCATAGTGAGTGTGTATGACGGGAGCTCTGTCCATGTGTGAACACAGTTGGTGATGTTGTTGGTGATTATTTAAGACTTCTAGGTTATTTCTGTCACTCAAGTCGATGCTTTTGACGTCAATCCCTTTTTGTTTTTTAAAGAGCAGAGAGAAGGGTTCCAAAAAATATTTTCAGTTTTCCCAATTCTGCCATTTTAACCTGCTGGTAGAAAAGATTTATATTCCTTGCACTCACTTCTTCTAAAAGAACAGTTTAACTTCTATGTGCTGACAGTTTTTAATAATGTCTATTTCATTGCAATAAAGCTTAGTCATTGAAGAAAGATGTTGCCCAGTTTATGCAGTAGTTTGATAGAGGAAAACTCATATTTTTAGTTTCTAGCAAATGGCATCATAGTAAAACAAAAACTAGCCTGTTTTGTTAGTTTAAGATAAGTCACATATATTTAATTAAAATCCTCTGGTGGGTACAGTTATTCCTTTTGGTATTAAATTAGACAGTTTTCAGTTGGCCATAAATTTAATCTGTTAACTGCAATAAGCAGTTCCTCCTGCTTCTTTTCATCCCCATTTGTTCTTGCTCCCTTCAGCAGGAGTCTGTATTTATGCAAAATAAAGAAGGGCTGTGTTAACTATAGGTTATTAATGATCAAGGTGTGGTCATTTATGACATTCTAATTTAGTTGTAAACTCTGCTGTGATTTTTGTTGTTGCTATAAGAGCATTTCTGAAATGAATCCAGCATGCTGTCCAATTATCCCATTTTACTGTTATGCTTTTAAAGATAATTTTTATCATCTTCAAAGGCTATCACCATACTATTAAGTGTCTTTAGATAATTGGTAAATATGTTTGTATTATATCCTGATCTGAGCCTCACTCAAGTGTTACTGTGCTACTTTTACTCCTATGATGGTACTAATTCACTATTTCTTATGAATTTCTGATGGTTTTAAAACCATAAAATTACTGTTTCTTACACTTAGATTATTTGTGTAACCACTTATAATTTTGTACACCCTTATGGCTATGTACTTCCTTTAACTCTGTGCCCTTGTCTTTTGAGATCTTTGTTCCTTAGAAATGGCCTCTGGTGTCGTCCTCCCTCTTGATGCACTTTTCCTAGGCAATGCCCAGACTTTGCTTCTGAGTATTAGTCCAAAATGCTGTGATCCTGGTGCACAGCCTGTTCCAGTGGAGAGGTGGTGTCAGTGGTCCTCTTGTACTTTGCTGTTTCCCATCTTCTCCAGCACATGTTGAGCCCTTTCCATGAAGTCAAGATTCAGAACCCCCTGAATACCTTACTCAAATCAGTGCTTAAAATATGACTTAGTTTGGCATGGAAACTGAAGAGAAGTATAGTCATAAATAAGCATACCTTGCTACTATGAGTGTTTTCAGGGCAGCAAGAGCTGGCAATGTACAGTATCTTCAAATGAACCATCTTTATTTAAGTGCCTTATTTTAAGTACTTAGGTTGTAGGGGGAAGTAATACACACTAAATCTAAATCTTCCATCATCTAAATCCTTTGGAACAGCAGCTTTTATGATAAAAAAACCCTAACATTCTCCAGGTAGTTGAGTGAATTCTCCTTCTTCAACCTTCTTTCTTTTTTTTTTTCACCTGCATTAACTAACCAATTCTGATCCTGGTGAAAATGCCAGAAGCCCAGTTTCGTGTTTTCATTCAATCCGTTTTGCTATTTTTGAGTCATGCACATCCTTCCTTTGTATAGGTGGTGTCTTTTTATTCAGTCTAGTGTCTTGAAGTGCTATAGAGCATAGAGGCACAATAGATTGTATCTATCTACTTAAACCTCTGTCAGATAAGATGCAACATTATAAAATCTTCATCTTAAAATACCTGGTTTCAAACTGGGTGTCTCTCTTGTAAATTTTTGCATTTAGTGTTGTGCTCTTTCCTTTTTGGAAGAATTATGTTGTTCATTCAAGGATGTGAGTACAGGCAGCTTGGGTACAGCTGTGTATTTAAACAACAGGTTTCAGGTTTGAAATGTGCAACTAAATCTAAAATGCATGACAAGGAACTTTTGTGCAGTATTTTCATCCCTATCTTCATGCTTGAAGGGCGTGACAGAACTGGTAGAAGAGGAGACAGAGGAGGTGCTACTCTCTAGGCCTCAGCTTAGGATTCTCTGAGCAGATACCTAAGTTAGCTTTGTGTCTAATGAGGTGTGTGTTTTAATATGAAATCAAGAGGAATAATTTCTGCTTAAAGACATTAAATTCCTTTAAGAAACCTGAGAGATTGCAAGGTTAATAAAACAAAAAAAATTGATTTTTTTTTTTTCACTTTTTCTTGACCTATTCTTCAGTTAGCCAGTATTAAATACTGATTAGTTAAATGTAATTTTACATGTATAATTAATTTATTCATAGCTCCTTTCTGGAGGCCAGAATTAAAAGGATGTAGTAGCATTTGTCGATGGCCAACTGGAATTATGATAATGTAAACAAATGGAGTTGACAGATTGTATCAGAGGGCTTCTGATATGGGAGTGAAAATTATTTTACATAACTGTGTATGATTGACATATGTTGGGCAATTATGAGAACTTTTCTTTCTCAACCAAATGTTATAAACTGTATTAATTGAAATAACTGTGAAGTTAAAGTTGAAAGCTTTTGATATAATTAAAGATGACTTCTGGAGACAGGAGTTACATGATACTCAAGCAAAAGAGGAGGAGGATGATTGAGAATGCAATATTTTGAATATTTTTAAACACACATACATATATTCATATAAATACAGAAAAACGTGAGAGATATCTAAAAATAAATTACACGAATTACTGTGTTCTACAGACTGGAGTACTTTAATAAAACCTATTATTCAATTTCATTCAAGTACAAGAGGGAAATTCTTTCTGCCTGAAGGGTTTTCCCTTTATTCTGAAGTGCTTTGGAAGCTCTGCAATTACTTCTCTAAGAGAGCTTAATTAAATAAGAGTATATTCTTTAGTTTGTTGTGTATAATCCAAAAGGTAAATCAGAAAATGTTGGGAGAACCAAATGATGTCACACACTTAGTTCCTCAGAACAGAGAACTACTACACGTTTGCTCAGAGAATCTCTGTGTAGCCATATTATTTCTTGAGAATTCTTTACTGTTTTTTCTCTCTGCATCCCCAGGTGTTTGTGACCAGAGTTTTGGAATACATGTAGCAGAGTTGGCGGCTTTCCCAAAACATGTGATAGAAAGTGCAAGAGAGAAAGCATTGGAGCTGGAGGAGTTTCAAAACATTGGCAAGTCCAAGGAATCTGAAGGAGAACCACCAGCCAAGAAAGTCTACAGAGAAAGAGAGGTTTGCTATCAGCAATGCTTTTTAAAATTTATTTAGCTGGAATAGCCCAAGCAAACTGGTTTAATGATTCAGATTCCCCCAGAGCTTGAGGGTATTTAATTGTCATCTCATTTTTCCATAACAAAATGTTTCAGCTATGAAGTTCATTAGGAATTGAAGAGGTGTTCCAAGGATAGTGGGTTTTTGTTTAGATTAATTTCAAGTTAACATATAACATTCAAGTTAACATTTCACTAAAAACATAGTCATGAGAATGCAACTTTATAAGAGTAATGATCAGCAGTTAGTATGGTTAGTTAGCACACGACTGGAGTCAAGGGACCATGTCTCTAGCTGTCCTGTGGGGTTGGTTTTCTTTATGACATGAACCATGAAAAGAATTTTGCATTCATCGCTTCTGTTGGCTACTTAGTTTGTATGCAGTGTTTCTTGGGACTTAATTATAGCTTTTTTTTTTTTATAGCACCTAGTTTTGCTCCCTGTTACTTGAGGGCTCATTAGTGCTGATTTCTTGAAGCTCAACATATGTTCAGATCTGTGCATGTCAGAGGAAAGCAGAGTACACAGCTTTCCCCTTTGTGCTCTCCCATGTACCATCAGTACTCATCTATCTCACAAGCTGATCATGTTGAAGGACACAGCAATTCGGACCTGGAATATCTGATTGACCTATGTTGTGAAGTCCTTTCCATTTCATGCATGAGAATTTTAGCTTGGTTCTCTCTACTCAACTACAAAACTGTGTTCAGTTTTGGGCACCACAGCATAAGAAAAACAGTGAGGTGCTGGAGCAGGTGCAGAGAAGGGCACGAAAGCTGTTGAAGGGTTTTGGGGAGTATGTCGTATGAGGAGTGGCTGAGGGAACTGGGATTGTTCAGCCTGGAGAAGAGGCTGAGGGGGGCCCTTATTGTGCTCTACAACTTCCTAAAAGGAGGTTGTAGTGAGGTGGGGGTTGGTCTCTTCTCTCAGGTAACTAGCAACAGGATGAGAGGCTCAAGTTGTGCCAGGGGAAGTTTTTATTGGATGTTAGGAAGAATTTCTTTCCTGCAAGAGTAGTGAGGCATTGGAAGAGGCTGCTCAGGGAGTTGGTGGAGTCACCATCCCTGGAGGTGTTTAAAAACCATGTAGATGTGGGACTTCTGGACATGGTTTAGTGGTCATTGTAGTGTTGGGTTGATGGTTGGACTTCATGATCTTAGAGGTCTTTTCCAACCAAGAAATATACTCAGTCTATACTCAAGCAAGAAATAAAATGCTCTTGGCTTTATAGAGGCTTCAAGCACAAGCTGAGAAAACCCACATCTCAGCATAGATATGATCATGTCTACCTTGCAATATACAGCTGTGTAAAGCCATTTGAGTGAACAGTTTATCTTCTCCACTTTCTCTTAAAATAAGCTTCATTAGCAGGTAGTATAAAGGAAAGTAATAGCTTGCAGGAAGCTTTTTCAGAATAGCTGGTGTCATCTTGTTGCTGGATTAAGAGTTGTTACAGTGATATCTTTTGCAGCCTCCTAGGAAACCTACATGCTGCCTTGTGACTTGCTTTGGGTTTTTTTTGCCATTCAGCGAGTCTTCCTTGCTGCATGCATATAAATCTCCTTAGGTCTGTGTCCCAGCAGCTGGCCTGAAACTTCACGGCCTTGTAACTCATTTATCTCCTTTTCTATTGTATGGAAACATTGAAGTGTTAGTCCATAAACAAAGCACTTTCTACATTGAAAAACTTTGCTCTAGGCAGAAGCTGTTACCTGTTACTTTATTGTCAGTTTAGAGGTCTGCTGCATTTGTTCCTGGCTCCGTAAGTGGATCTGATCTTGTGGATGAATGATCTCTGGTTTGTCTGGTTTGCAGGTTCTTGCAACTACCTCAGTTGCTCCACTATTCCCTTTCCTTTGCCAGCTTGCCAAGTGGCATGGTGAAGTATTTTTCAGATTAGTTGGATCTAGCTGTGTGGTCTTAAATTGATGTAAATTAAATTGATGTGGCAAACACTTCTGACAAACACAGCATCATGTTTTATTCTTGGATACTTCAGTAATACATATTTCATAAACTCTCAGGGTAATAGAATGACATAGCTTTAGATGTCTTGCCTAGGCAGTTTGTCTGCTTTTAACACCATGTTTAAAGGTAAAAGTGTGCTATTACGTTCCCAGGTCCTTTGGAGACTTCTGCACTGAAAGCATACTGCTCTAGTCTTACATGATAAAACAAAACTAAGATAACTTTGTAATAGAGTCCTAAAATGCAAAATGCAGAGGACTAGCCTTAATTCTGTATTCTGGGCAAACTGTTACTAATAGAGGGATCCAGAATACTGTTCATTGGAATGTTTGTTCCTGCTATTCAATTCAGTTTGTTTAGAAGTTCCACTTTGCCTGTTTGCATAAAAGCATATGCATAAAGCTTAATTATCATCTGTTCTCCTTGGTGACGGCCACTCTCCAGTTGCTTGGTTACAATTTGTTCTTCCCTTTGGCATATTGAAATACGGATTTTGGTTCACAGTTCCTCCAAAAAACAACTAGTTTGGGTAATACGGCCACTCCGATGCTATTACTGCTAGCAATCCTCACCTGAGGTGGTTGTACACTGAAATTAAATGTGGAACACATGTGTGAGCTCAGTGCTAAATATTGTATTTTTGCTGATCAAATGATGCTGTTTCATCAGGGATTGGAAGGGAAAAGAACTCCTGATACCAGCATAACCGGATTGTTCTGGTATTGAGAATGTGATAGCAAGTGTAGAAAAATATCTGTGGCTTTTGTCTGAAAAAGGTTTCTGGGGATGAATAATACTCTATATCTTTGGAGAATTTAGAAAAATCCTACTTATAAATGTAAACATCCTTTCTGTTTTCCTTCTCTTCCATTTGTTTCAGGAAGGTGAAAAGATAATTCAGGATTTTCTTTGTCAAGTGAAAGCATTGCCCCTGACAGACATGTCAGAAGAAGACATCAAAATCAAGCTGAAACAGCTGAGAAATGATGTGTTGGCAAAGAACAACGGTTTTGTGAATGAAATCATTTCCCGAACAAAAGTTACATCCTGAAAGGTGTGAGAATAGGATACAGCTCTTTTTTGCATTGCAGGAACTACCATTTTCTTGTCTTGTAGCTTTTATACTTTATGATACTTGTACTGATTTATGTAGGCATTTTTTTCCTTGGATTGTAATTACTTTGTAAAGAATGCTGAGCACAATTTATGCAAGATTCTTGCTCCAGTTGCGATGATTGTGTTCTTTTAGTAGTTTTCAATAAAACGCTTTTTCAATATTGAGAGAATTATTGACTTCACAAACAAAATGTGTATTATTTTACCAGAAAAGTGTGCTAGAAAGTACAATATTTGAGAGATGGCATACAATGACCACAGCCTTGAAAAGCAACAGTGCATACACAATATCTTTGTCCTATACCATGATTCCTTTTTGTGTGGTGCAGTTACATTAATTCAGCAGGTTTAGTAATTCTATCTTAGCTCTCCATTAGGAAACCCCATCTAATCTAAGTGATTTAGCATAATATTTTTTCCATGTGAACCTCTGTGGAGCTTGAGGGGTGTGGGTGCAGGATATTTTTTGTTTGCTGTGTGGATGGTAATGCTCAAGTCAGATATACTACAGACCTGCTCTTCATGCCTGCGTGGTGATAACTCCTGCATATTTTGGTGGTTTTGTAATGTAAGCAGAGGCTGGGGTTGAAATTACAATTCAGTTGGAACTTCTGAGTTGGTCATGATTGGTGAGGTCTATCTAGGAACAAAGAATGCGTTGATTTCTATCTGATGTACTTCTTGCACTGAGACAGTTTTAAAGCATCAAGATACAAGTTTATATTCTCCTTGAAATTTAGCATTTTAAATTGTAGCTCAAGAACACTATACCTGTATTTAAAACTGTCAGTGCTGAAAGATTAATGGGATGAAGCGTTTATCATATGAGATTGCAGGAATAAAATCATGCAGAAGATGCCATGCAGGCTCTTGCAGTGTTCAGAGGTTGCATCAGTGGGTGGGTGCTGGGTACAGCAGTGCTGCTGTTAAAGCTGTGCTGTAGCTCTCCTCAGCGTTTAATGTCTTGCTGTGGTCTGCATTTGAACGTTCCAACAATAATAAAAGAGGTGTGTGGTTCAACTTGCTGTTGGATAATGCTTGTTTGTAGTTAGACTAGAATTTGGTCCTACTGGATATACTACTCAACGGAAGAAAATAAAGGCTTGTTTGAGAGGTTTGGGGTTTGTGTAACACCTTTTTGGTCTTTAAGATAGAATGCATTCTACAGCTACAAACAGCATGGTTGGTGCATGTATTCAGCAGCTGTGTCTGGACAAGTGTGTGAATGGAAAAATCTGTTACATAAAGTAATGAAAAATATAGCTGGTTTTGCAAATTCAATTGGTTCAAGCACATGCTATCCAAAAATACAGAATTATACGTGAATTAGACCATAAGAATTAATTTAGAGGATCAAATACTGTGATGACACCCAATTTGCATTGAATCAGACTGCTTGAACTGTTGATATAAGTGGGCAGTTCTTGCAAGGGACTGGAACGGCTGGTGCTCACAGCCTCTTCCTGCATATGCTGACATATCTGATCAGAGATACCCCTTGCTCAGTCTTCTGTCCCTAACTGTGGGAACAGGCATAAAACCATATCTGGTTTTCTTTTCCAGGAACTTCTGTGTTCCCCATGACCCTGTGTGAACTTGCAGTGTCTACAGCATTCAGCCTTACTGAGCTGCCACCTGCAAGAGGGACCACTTCTTGGCTTTGAATCTGATTCCTATGTTCCTTTGGTGCCTCTTTTTTTCATTCTTCTTTCCACTCTGGATGTGCTGGATCAGTACACCATGCCTGCAGTAGGCTGAGGAAAGGCTGCTTTCATCTTTTGTTTTTGTGTTGCAGCTGGAGGCTGGTAGAGCTGCTCCCGTATAAGCAGATTTTCCCATCTCCAAGGGTGAGAGTGTTATTTGTGTGCACTGCTCAGGAGTGATGGGGCACCCTGACTGGCCAGCTCTGGGCTGCACCTTCTCCTCTATGCTTCAGAAAGGGAATCTTACATCTTCAGGAAAAAGGACACTGTTTTTCTCCTGTACTTTACAAGGAAGAATGGTGCAAGTTAGTGGGATTTTAAGATTGATCTTTGTCAACTATTTTCTCTTCCACACTAACACATCCCCCACACTCTTGCCAGACCCCACTCCCCCACCAAGTATACTGCAGCTGCTGGATACAAGCGACAGTGGATCAGGCAGAGTTCAGTCTCCATAAGTCAGTACTGTCTGCAAACTGGGTTACAGGTAGTGGATTTCATGGGAGCAGGTGGATGGCTATTTCTACTAGTTCCAGTTTAGCTTTTCGTTCAGAAACGTACCTGTGAGACAGGAGCAATTCCAGAACTTGGCTGGTTATTGCCGAGGATGCAAAGATTGTCACAGCTTCAGAACAACATAATGTAGCTATTGAGGAATGGTGACGCCACTTACTGTCAGCCTTGAATAAAGACTCAAGTTTCTCTTTGTTCAGTCACTTGAGAAAGCTTGGCACTGAATGTTTACTGCAGGTGTGGTCTTTTCAGTCTGTGCCATTACTGTTCATCTAGAAAGCTCTTTATGAAGAAAACTGCATTATATGGGGTAAAACAAAGTGTGCATAATCAAACACTGAAGGAATTACTTTGATCATATTATCGCTCACCTCTTAGTGATCGGGAGTTTAACCTATTTGTGTGCAGGAGCACCTGGTAGCCACCCTGATGAGAAAATACTGGGTTTACTTCTAGGGTTGCGGTCAAAAGCAGGTGAAGTGCTTGGTAGTCAGCAGGCTCCAGTTCAGGGATGGAGGATTCTGGGATCAAGCTCGCAAATCCGGGGAAGGCAGCCTGCCAGCCCTAGGGCTTGCCTCTACCTGTTCCTACTTGCAGCTAGGCAAGTTAATATCAAATAATAATACAGTTGGTAAGTGACTCTGTCTGCCTCCTTCACTGAAGCTGAGGCAGTTTTGGAATCAGAAATGGCAGGAAGATGAGTGAGACAAACCCTTGCCCTCCACTGAAGCTGGCTTGAGGAGACTTTGAGGCCCCTGAGAACTTCATGTGCCTGCTCATGAGAAGCAAGCCCATTACTGGCCTGGGTTTTGTTGAGCATGGTGACTTTGTGCAAGGTCTTAGGGAGTGTAACTGTTCTGAGCTGAACTGTATGAGAGCTCATTGCTCTGCAGGAGGAGATGCTGCCTTTGAAGCTCAGCTGAGATCTGGGGTTGCATGAGCAGTTTGATCTCATTTGGTGTGAGATTAGGTTGACAGTTTAAACTGGTTTTCATGGCATTTAATAAGTTTTCAAATACAGGACCAGTACATAGGCTGATACATTTCTATGGCTACAAGAGTGTGACAATTAGCTTTACTGTTCTCCGGTGTCAGAATAGAATCTGTCTAATCTAACAGATTTATCTGAAAAATCAAGGGAGAGCAGTTGCTGCTCTGCATCCCAAGGGGCATGAGGTCATGCATTCAATGCTTGGCATCTTGCTGACTTGGGAACAAGGGAAAAAGTGGCTGTAGGAACCTGAAGTCTTAAATGATGGTGGGAGAGGTGCTGCCATCTCTGTGAGACAGTTGCAACGCTTGCAGGTAGAACTCTGCTCTTGAAGTTGCCTGTGTGCTGGAAAAGCCTCATTCACAGTTCTATCTCAATTCTTGTTCTTCTCTCAGCCTATTTCCTTTCCCAGCTCCTGCCATGTGTCTGCACTGTTCCTATACACAAGGGAGCACCTTGCATTGCCACGTTTGTGTGTGTGTGTTTCTTTTAGCTATCAGAAATGCTTTATTTGCATGGGATGGGACAGGGGTTGGTAGATCCCTGCATGTGCTGCTTTGCCAGTCAAGTTGAGAGGGACCCACCTCTGCTGTGGAAGGAGGAAGTGGTAATTTTAATCGTTCTCAGTGGCAGCCAGGACATACCCTGCTGACATGGTGTCCCTTGCCACCCAGACCAGCAGCAGTGGCTGTAGCTGAAGGAAACAATACTGTAAAGCAGATGGCAGATTGTGTTTTCTTTAGCAGCTGGAGCAAGTAGTGCTTTTCTGGAGGTGAGAAAATGCATTAGCTTTTCCACTATCATGAATAAAGGTGCCTTGGCACCTGGGCTGAGCTGTTGGATGCTTGTGGCAGTTTCCATAAGGATATAATAGTTCTGTCCTTGTAGGGACAGTTGGAAAGCTGAAAACAGCTGTGCTGAACAATGTGAGCCAAGGGAAAAGCTGAGAGTAAATAGCCTGTGCTTATGAGAATATTTCCCTTGGTGATCCACCTGGTCCTGCTGCATGCTGCAAAGTCATTGCTTGTGAGGGCAATGCGCTCGCGTGGGTGGTGGCTTCAGTTTGCTCTTTTTTGTTGCCATAAAAGGAGGCAACTGTTACTGTATGGGTTGCTGTGGGCTCCTGCAGCAGGTTTGACTGCCATGGTTAACAGCAGACCTTTGGCCTGAGCAAGGAGGAGTGTAGCAGATCACACTGGCAGTCTGGTCCCATCTCTAATCCACTGCTGGAGTGTGCAGTGGGGGAGGCAGGAACCTGGGCAGCAGTCCTGAAGAGTGTCTGTGCCCACCCGAAGGTGCTACAACCTGAGGGACATGGATTCTTTTTGTATTGAGACTTCGAAAAAGTCTCTTGTCTTCTGCCCTGCATATTTCTGTTTGTGCTTAGAAATGGTATAAAGCGTCAGGAAAATATCCACCACCATGGGCTTTAAAACAGAGAGTGTTGTCCTTTTCAGCATGCCCATTGTTTCCCCTTGTGTGGCTGCTCCCACACCACTGTGATGCCTCTGAGAGCAGACAGTCCAAGCCTGTAAACCTCTCTGCACCAAGCAGACCCCATGCAGAGCTGCCTGGGGACCTGCTGTTCCTATGCAGGTGGAGCCAGGCTGGTGCTGTAGGGAGCTGAAGTGAGCCCAGCAAACCCAGCCACGTGCTGTACCTCCTCCCCAGGGCCTGTGGTTTGAACAAACACTTTCCAAAGAATCAAAACCAGCTGTTGTCACAACATGGTCCCAAGGCTTGCAAAGAATGACAAGGTGTGTTACCATAGTACAAGCCTTGCAGATTCTAGGTGTTTGCTGGAAATGTTATTTCAAAGCAATTTTCTTCTCCCTAGATACTTTCGGTAACTCTTCCTCACGTCTTTCTGCTGTAGGTTGTTGCTGGCTTAAATGTCCCTTTCTTGGTTTTCCGTGTCACAACATAATGGCAAGTAGTCTCCTTAGGCTTTGGTGTGC